ATATATAAAACTTTTCTTATAAATAAAAAATCCTAAATCTCAAAAAACACACCCCACTCGTATAAACAAATATTCAATAAACAAAAGTTCAATAAATGTTCAATAAAGTCTCTTTACTTCTTCTTTTCCATGAAACAATTCTTTTTCTCAACACCCGTACATTCTGATGCCCTTATACCTCAAAAAGAAAAAACTATATATAGTGTCATACCTTTTTAGTAATCAGAACTCTTCAGTAAGGCTCTAAAGCTCTAAAGCACCCCCCCCCCCAAACTACACAAACTGCCATACAACCTTGCGATCACCTGAACCTAAATCTTATATAACACCCTTCTGACAGATTCAGCATGTTTTGGTGTTGGGTGGAACTACAGCCTCTGCTCACTTGATTCTGTGCTGTACAACCTACCTTCTTATTCAATAGTATGGATAGATGAGGCTGCAGTGGAGTTAGAGACAGACTGGTACTGGAACCAGGGAACACTTGTTCTACATTTTCACAGACTCAGGGTAGTTAGTGAGTCAGCCTGCTTCAGGCAACGAATGCCAGATGAAAAATAATAAGGACTTAGCAAGGTTGCTGAGCTAATATTTACACACAAAAAAAAATCATGTCTGGTTGAAATGTGCTTTTAGTTTCATCAGTCATACTATCACTGGTACTGTGTAGTTGGAGGACAGCTAGTGATTCATACCGCTCTGGGCTTCCTCTTCCAATAATTGTAAATTGACCAGATAATTCTGAGTGAGGACTACCATAGCAGAATACATAACTGAATTCTTTGTACCTTCAGATGATCTATCTCATGAAAAATGATGTACCCAGCCCAATGGAGAGAAAACCACAAACAGGCAAGGCTGTGTTTTGGGCTAACAGCGGATATGAGCTGAAAGTCCAACAAGGGAACAATATCATAAGTACATGAATGAAATATTTGAATATATTTTTCTACCCTAGCAAACTGTAATTTAGCAGCAATCTGTCCGGAATAGGGATGTTCAGTAGACTGAGGATCTGCTACAGTGTACAATGAAGTCAGTCTAACATTGTCTACATGCTTTCTATTTATTTATTTTTTATTTATTTCAGGTTTTTATATAGCGCTGTCAATTTACGCAGCGCTTTACATATATATTGTACATTCACATCAGTCCCTAACCCTCAAGGGGTGTACAATCTAAGGTCCCTATCTCACATTCATACATATACTATGGACAATTTAGACAGGATCCAATTAACCTACCAGCATGTCTTTGGAGTGTGGTAGGAAACCGGAGTACACGGAGAAAACCCACACAGGCACAGGGAGAACATGCAAACTCCAGGCAGGTGGTGCCGTGGTTTGGTTTTGAACCAACGCCCCTTCTGCCAGGCAAAAGTGCTAACCACTAAGCCACTGTGCTAGACGGGATAACTTGATCAATATATAGTGTTGCATCTTCATTGTCTAACCAGTAGGCTGTAGATGCACTCTTGACCAGGCTGTAGTGCTTAGCTCCTTTGGAGAAGAGTGAAGTCACAGACCTGTCTTTGAAAGAGAAACTAGTTCAAGGGTCCATTTACACCAACTGCTGCTTTATAACAATGAGGTCCTGCGGGATCACCATACTTTTCCCCTCCTGTTTTAAAACTACTTTAGTGAAATGTCACACAGACTATTCATAAAGTTCAGTTGGCTGCCGAGTGGTGCTAGGTGATGCTTCATGCTGTGGTGTACTAAAAAAAAAAAGTAGTGCATGCAGTACTTTTTTTCAGTGCATCATGCCCGTATACCACCACAATGCAGTGGTGTGGACCGGGCACACAGCAGTCCCATTGCAACTGGTGTGCCCTCTTTTTATGGGATTTTTTATGTCACAAACAAAACAAATAGGACCATTGAATTCAATAAGCACCGTCATCCATTGTAAAACCATATATGGAAAACCCTCTTTTTTTTATGGGATTTTTATGGCACAAACAAATAGGACCATTGAATTTATAAAAGTTTCTAGAACCATATTTTATTTTAACACAAAAATATTTAACATTTCCATGGACGTATACAGTATGGCGGTTATTCTTACGCACTTATGTATAACCGCCATACTGTGTATGTCTATGGAAATTTTAAATATTTTGTGTTAAAATAAAATATGGTTCTAGAAACTTTTATAAATTCAATGGTCCTATTTGTTTTGTTTGTGCCATAAAAATCCCGTAAAAAAGAGGTTTTTCCATGTATGGTTTTACAAGGGATGCTGGTACTTTTTGTTACCACAGCCGTTATTTTTCTATTGCATCTGGTGTGAGTAGACCCTTAATGTGACACACAAATGATGCAGCGCTACTACCATAAAAATTCTTCACACATAAATGAGTAAGTGAAACAGTGCAAAATTAGTGACACAAATAACATAAACACACAATATTAAATAGTGCCAAAAAACTCATAAATAATCACATGTGACAAGTGTCAATACGAGGTCCTAAAAGGACCAAATAACATAAATGGTGCCCCAAGTAATCCAATGGGATCCAATAGTGCTCCAAATCAAACAAGTAAGTCACAACAGGACTCAATGTGCTAAAAAAAAAAAAAAAACCTCCCACCGGAACTAAAAATCAGTTCCCACCATATAACACAAAACACACGTGCATCCAAATAAACGCATAAACTAAGAACTGATCATGCAAACAAACATGAATAAATGAATGAATATATAAAGTCCCGTCAGGTGTAAAACACCTGACAATATACAAAAAACCATATATAAAGTCCACAGCAATTGTTGAAGAAGAAGAAAAAAAAAAAAAAAGAGTGCTGATAAATGTGCAGAGATATCCAAAAATGGCTGAATTGCCCGCTCACCTCCCTCTTGCGACCCGCAAAGGGTCAAAAGGCCTTCAGGATCACTAACACATGTCCCAGACCCTTAATGTGCATTTCATTTATTATTATTTATTATTATTATTCAGGATTTATAAAGCGCCAACAGTTTGCTCAGCAGCTTTATGTTATTTCATGTCACTGTTTGCCTAAGGTTCACAAAGATAAAAATATATATATAACAACCTGAATATCGAAATCTTATTGTGGGAATTAACACCAATAAATAAATAGGTAATGTATCACTGCACACCTAGCCCACGTGGGCTTAAAATATCACTTTTATTCAAAATATTAAAATAAATTTAACTCAGAAAGCTCATAATTACGTGAAAATAACCACAGAAGTTATTGGGTGTGGTTTAGCAGTATCTTTAGCCACTGGCTCTACCTCTAAATTGCAACTGATAATAATACATTTTCAAAGACTCTCATTAGTCCCTAATATATATTGAAATATTACGGTGCTTTGATCTAAACCTAGATACTGCCTATTACTCCATCCTGTTGGCTAAACATGTATACTTTTCCCGTACTCTCTGATGATAAATTTAACTAAACAAAAAAGAAAATCTCCAAAACACAAACCCAACATGTTTCACAAAAAAACATGGCTTCATCAGGGGTGAATTATTGTGACATAATGTGATATGTGCAGCACAAATACCACATTGATATTGGCCAATTTGGCGACAATTGACAAGACTCCTTGATATGTGCAGCAAAAATGTCTCATGGATTATGGCCAATTTGTGAAACTTGGCAAAACTCCCTGCTTAATCACTCCCAATTCTCTCTGTGGGTGTATTCCTTAGGCCATTTTAGGAGCTTTCTGAGTTTTTTTTTTTAAATTTTGAATAAAAGTGATATTTTAAGCCAGAGTGGATTAGATGTGCAGTGATACAAGCACATTGTCTAAAGTTCAGTTTTAAAGATTAACCCAAGCAAATATAAATCATAAAATAATACAGTTACCTAATAATAATTTAAAAAAAGGATATAACATACATTACATGCAGCTAGTGTTAGTATCTCATGCTGTGTTGGCATCAGTCTCTTTAAATCCCTGAGACTCAGACTGAGAGACTAGGAGCCAAGCAAATTTTGTTGCAGTGCTCATGTTCTGGCAGTTAAAATGCAAACAAGAGCAGAAAGACAAGTGAGCAGAATGATGAATCATCACTGTACTGCTGCTCCTCCATTCTCCAATCAGCAGGTTAGAGATGTGTTCATGACAAATCAAATACCCCACCACTCCCAACACTCAGAGATCCATCACAGTCAAATGGTGCCAAGGATGACAATAAATGAATTCCACTAGGAATACATAGACGATGCAACCCTCCTCAGATAGGAGGATCCAGTAGCAACTACAAAAAGAAGATGGTGCAAGCACCTAGTGCAATACCAGAGACTTATTAAAGACAAGTGTCAAAACAAATGAGTGCTCACAAAAGCAAAAAAAAAGATAAAAATTTGTTAAAACCATAAGATTAGCTCTGAGGAAGGGGGTGCACCCCTGAAATGTATCATCTTCCCAGCATAGCAGGGTTGCATGTTGGGACATGAGATTCCTACACCTTTTATCATCTTGTTATTTTAACACATTTTTATCTTCTACTTTTGTAAGTACCCGTTTCGTTGTGACACTTGTCTTTAATAATAATACAGCTTAGCTCTGAGGAAAGGGGTGCACCCCCAAAATACATCAGCTTGCTAGCATAGCAGGTTACATGTTGGGACACACAATTCCTACACCTTGTATCATCTTGTTATTTTAACACATTTTTATCTTCATGTACCCATTTTGTTGGACACTTGTCTTTAATAATAATACAGCTTAGCTCTGAGAAAGGGGGTGCTCCCCGAAATGCATCAGCTTGCAAGCTACGACCATGTTGGGACACGCGATTCCTACACCTTGTATCATCTTGTTATTTTAGCACATTTTTATCTTCTACTTTTGTCAGTATCCATTTGTTGTGACACTTGTCGTTAACAAAAATCTGGTAATGCACTAGCTGCGTGCACCCTCTTGTTGTGTTCACGACAAAGGTGTGCTAACCATATAGTGAAGTAAAGAATCTGGCTGTACTATCTGGCGTGGGTGCCGTGATCAAATGCTCACAGTCAGGGGCGGACTGACAACTCATGGTGCTCCCGGGCAATAGGGGATCATGGGGCCCCTGTGTCCTCGCCCACACTCAAACCACACCCAAAAAGCCTATGAAAGGTACCAAGTGGCATCTCATGGGGCCCCCTACTGACCCCGGGCCCTCGGGCAGTGCTGGAGTTCCCAAATAGTCAGTCCGCCCCTGGTTTGGCACAGGGGCGGACTGACAACTCATGGGGCCCCCGGGCAATAGGGGATCATGGGGCCCCTGTGTCCTCACCCACACTCAAACCACACCCAAAAAAGCATATGCAAGGCACCAAGGGGCATGTCATGGGGCCCCCTACTGCCCCCGGGCCCTCGGGCAGTGCCGAAGTTCCCAAATGGTCAGTCCGCCCCTGGTTTGGCACAGGGGTGGACTGACAACTCATGGGGCTCCCGGGAAATAGGGGATCATGGGGCCCCTGTGTCCTCGCCCACACTCAAACCACACCCAAAAAAGCTTATGAAAGGTACCAAGGGGCATCTCATGGGGCCCCCTACTGCCCCCGGGCCCTCGGGCAGTGCCCAATTTCCCAAATGGTCAGTCCGCCACTGCTCACAGTTGCAAATCCATTATCAGGCATCCATTGGCTTGTCTGATGTTCACCTTTACCATATTACACCAGTATTAAATTCCACAACATTGTATAGTGTTATTCAAATTCACATCTTTAAGAAAGTTGGTCTTTTATTTTGAAAGAGATGTATACTGATTTGCCGGGCAAAGAATTATGTAAGTCACATAGTTCTCCTTGTTGCTCATTTTCTCAGTTATCTTCTTCGTATTCTATGTGCTGAACCAAGCTATGTTGAAAGATTTTTGACTTTCAGAATATAGATTACTATAAAATTGTGAATTATTTTTAAAGCTTTCTGCTAGAGGAGATTCAATATTATTGTAATTCTCCCACATTGGTAAATTCAAGGGTTCTTTTAAATGTAAAAAATAGATTAAAGTTACAAGTGCAAAGCATGTAAAGTATCTGCCGGTAATATTGGGGATGTTGCTGCAATTATTATGAATAAGCACGCGCTTCTACAACAGCTGGAAAGCCAGAGGCACCAGGCAGTTCTAGATAAAGGTGATCTGTTGTATTTACTAAAGATCAATGGAACATTCGGGGAACAAGAGTGGATTAGGAATATTATGATGTGTTCAAGACCACAATTAAAGGTAATACGTTTAATAAAATAATTCTTCTTACATATAATTGCTGCAACCAGGTATCCATTTGTAAAACATGTTTTTTTGCCATCTGTGTCCCATTGGAGTGATTTTCTTTTACTTCCTGTCCCATAGCAAAAACAGAAAGTGGGAGAAAATCCTTCAAACATGACAGAATCCCTGGTGGTTATCAGGCTCACAAGTGTCCGAATGCAAGATTTCCCCTCAATTGCGACAACAACCAAAATTTGGTGTTTTCTTTCACTTTCATTCTCAGTGAGAATGGAAAGCAGGACAAATAGAGAGAATGAACCTCCCTAATGCAGACACACACAGAAAAAAAAGCCTGATAGGTGTCCTAATCCCGAACCACTCTTTCCAAAATGAACAGCCTTTAGTTATACTTTTTTGCTAAAATACAGCTGTTCTGACATTGGGGGCAAAAATGTATTTGCTAATACACTAAAAGGTAAGGTCAGCTCATTGTATCAAGCCTCCCTCATTGCTATATGATAGTAGTAAAAAATTATTTGTAGAAAAAAAAAAGTTAGAAAATACACTTAACCACGCTTACATTACATGTGCTTCAAGCAACAGTGCCCAAGCGAAGGTGGTGCCACTATCCTTTGGGCAAGGTCTTGATAATGAATAGGATACTAAATCTTATTAAAAGATACTCCCACAGCAAGATGTGACATCATCTCATGAGATTTCATAAACCTAGAGATTCCAGGATATAGGTAGGATTATAACACAACCCTCTGCAGTGTGGAAACCTGGGTAAGATAGGTATATTTATTAGCTCTTTCCCCACAGGTGCTTTACTTTTTGTCAAATTCTTTATTTAGGTTTTTCCAGAAGCAGAGTCATCAGGTACATATTGAGAGTACAAAGAAAAAAGAAAAAAATGGCAAAAAAAAAAAGAAAAAAAAGAAAAAACTGGTCACCTACCCAGGTCTATAACTGGCTTTTTAAACAGTGAATATGGAAGATGTCACAAAGTAAAAAATAGGACTATCCAGTTCAACTTGCCAGCCTACCCCAGTCTAATAATGGCTATTGTCGGCAAGGAACATGGATAAGTATAACTTATCAAAAGAGGGAGATAAGAAAGCCAGTTCAAACTGCCAGCCAGTTAGCCAACTATCAAAAACCAAATTAACCTGTCTAAGAACATGCGTTTATAAACAGGGCTTTAGTTAGCACACATTTGCAAATACATACGTAAGCCACAGAGCCACATCACGGCACCCTGAGTATCTGTGGTCCTAACTCTATAAATCTTGAGAGTCCTCACAATGGAGGCACATGCATTTAAATGGATAGAAACAAGAGCAGGTGAACCTGAGGGAGCCCTCCCCTCATTAAGGTCATGGGAGCGCACCTGACACCCAGCATGTAGCACAACTGCAGCCAAGGTATCCAATGCACCCACTGAACCTCCAAAATTAACATACAAAGAAAAAAACGGGTCACCTACCCAGGTTAATTTGGTTTTTGATAGTTGGCTTACTGTCTGGCAGTTTGAACTGGCTTTCTTATCCCCCTCTTTTGATAAGTTATACTTATCCATGTTCCTTGCCGACAATAGCCATTATTAGACTGGGGTAGGCTGGCAAGTTGAATTGGATAGTCCTATTTTTTACATATTGAGAGTACACAAATAACAAAAGGATAATCATAACTCAGATTTCCAGGGAAGATAAATCTAATAAGGACAACACAGATAACTGGTTCCACATAGCCCCTAGCATATAACCTGTTATCATCAGGGAGGGCAGATAGAGGGAGGAATGTCTAAGTAAGCAGTTACTGTGGAGGAAGGAGCATGATAGAATTTAGACATCACCAGAAATGGAAATAACCTCATTCACATAAAGGTACCAATAGCTTGGTCCTCCCAAATTAACACATCTAAAGATAGGCATGTATAGGATTCCTGAATAGAAGAAGACCCAGAAAACTCTGCCATGGCTGGTCCCAAGCCTAGCTGCAAATACAGGAGGGTTGGGTGAAAAAAAAAAGAAGACCCATAAAAGACACAGGGAAGCATAGGAGAGAGAAGAAGTGCAAAAAGCATAGCATACAAAGAAACATGACAAGGGGAGCGGTGAGGGAAAAATAAATAAAGGGGTGTGGGGAGGAATCCTCAGGAAAAGGGGAGACAGGATTAAGTGATTGCTTCATACCAGCCACTGTACCATACTCAGGAGGATACTGTACTCCATTGTGGTTTGAAAGGTTGACCAATAGAACCAGGTTTTAAGGAACCATTCTTCTGTGTGGTTCACTCTTGTCATCATGTTCTCCATTGTTTTGATTTCATCAACCTTATTTAATCAATTGAAAGGGCAAAAGTCTGTTTCCAGGGTAGTTGAATGCAGGCTTTCACTACATTGAGGAGATGTATAGGCAGCGACTTCTTATAACGTTCGGGACATTGGTGTCAAGTGGAGGAGGAAGGAAGCGAGGTCACTTCCCAATTACACATTGGTCATTCGAAAGATAATATCTTGGATTTTGTACCAAAGACAGGGCAATCCCAAAAAAACATCTAGTAACGACCCTTCATGTCATTGGCATCTCCAACACTCCACAAAGATGTGAGCACTGTGAGAACATTTTAGATAAGGTTTTCGGAACCCTATATCAACAAGTTAACAATTAAATAACAAAACCTTGCGCCACAAAGACACACTTCCTTATGTTGTGTAAAATATTAAATAATTACTACTGTAGGTGCTCGAATCCACTGCTGCCACTTTAAAAGAAAATTTGCTGTCATAAAACAAATTAGAAATAATGTCCAATTTGAGGAGGTGCTGTGATAGCAAAAAATATAAACATACAATTTAATTAAATATATGAAACAAATATAAATGAAGCAGGAATGGGACAAAGGGGGAGCAGGAAGGGTGGCCTCCCAAGGTGCAATGATTTACTGTAGGGATGGGGCACCTTCCTTCTGTTACCAGGCTGACAGTAGTAGTGATATCAGCAGTGATTTTGACAAGCGAGTGACTGCTGGGCATAGGATCCTCTAAGCTTGCACATCATGAATGGGGGGGGCGTAGTTTGGCATTTTTTCCCTGGGCACGGGATGACCTTGTCCCAGCACTGGAATAAAGTAATCTTAAATGAAGGTGACACTATTGTACCTCTTGGCTGCTTCTTCTAGGCTTAGAGCAACAACCTGATAAGAGACTACTTAGACCTGTGAGGCCTTTTGAACATAGGTGACAGACATCGGAAAGGTGATGGAGTGATAGAAGGAAGTGATTTACTGGCTGGCGTGTTGGAATAAAGATGGGAGGCCCCACAATTTACACAAGTGATTTATGCCAATCATTTTACAAGAGGCATATGTATTTGGTGACTGCCATATTTAAAGGGTGTGGTGAAACACCTTTGCACATGTAGAAATGTGAGAGGTCATTGGCTGGAAGAAGGTAATTTGAATCCAAGGGTGGACTATAACTTGGAATATTTTCTGGACTTTAGTTTATTTATGTTTATTTCATTGGACATTTCTGGGCTTTGGGTTTATTCATTTAAACTGGAAGTAAACGCAAAACCTAATTAACTCAACGCATACTGTTAGCCACAGTCTAAGCCCAATCTATCTAGCCCTGTAAATAAAAAATTGCTATACTTTTCAGTCCGGTCTCCAAGTGCACCCCTCTATGTGGTGACAGTCAACAGCTGAGAAATGCCTGGGAAGCGACATCATCCACAGAGTTACGATGGGGCTTCCATTGTCGGCTGCCTCTCCTGCACAGTACTACATTCTGAAGCCACCAGCTCAACATGGGACCGGACCAGAGTAAGAACAGGTAATTATAGCAATTTTTTCTTTACTGGGTTAGATAGAATAGGCCTAGAATGTGGCTGAGAGTAGGTTTAGAGTTAGTTAGGTTTTGCCTTTACTTCCACTTCATTCATAGTTGTTTCAGCACTGGGTGCATATATTTACTTTTGTTTTATGACGAGTTAATAATTT